TGTTTCACACTTTGGTGCTCTATTACTTGAGACAAAGAGTCAAATAGAAGAGACGACAAGACAAGATGGCGGTCAACACGTTTACTACAAACATGCAAAGATCACGTGGGCCCAACACAGGGATCCCAATATTAACACTGTCTACAAGACTAAACGATCCATGAACAATTTTATATGCCAGGCCGCAAGGTCGTGGAACCTGTCATCTAGGGGACGTTGATTTAATCCAATCCTATCTGATAATAAGTGAACATTATTATATATGTATATATGTTTTTATAATTGTATTGTTTAAATATCCTATCATCTTAATTAATTATGAGTATTGTAATTAAGAGTACAATTTAGCCTCCAATGGCTACCATTCTCTTTTTAATAAAGTTATTATTATTATTATTATTAATTGCCAACGAGTCAATGTCATGTCATGTCATCTAATGTAGCAATGGAGTTACGAGTTTTACCAGTCAGGGCATCCAATAAAACTCAACCAATTGGAGCACTCCGATCTAAACCAATCGGAAGCCACGATAGTCTCGTGATTCTGGCATCATGGCGAAGGCAAGTCGCTTGCGAGTTGTCGAAGTACGCCATAGCTAAAGGAAGAAACTGATGAAGTTAAAGTACTGAAAAGACCATAAACGGTGAGTAAATTAGGTCTCTGTTCCTTCATTTTGTTGTATTGACCTGTGCACGCTTCCTAAGAATGTTTTTAGTGGTACGCTGCCTTATTCGTGAACGCGTTGGTTCGTTTTGGTACTCAAGTTTATTGAACACGCTGGTTCGAAGATTGACTAAAACACTCTTAGGAAGTGTGCACAGGTCAATACAACAAAATGAAGGAACAGAGACCTAATTTACTCACCGTTTATGGTCTTTTCAGTACTTTAACTTCAACAGTTTCTTTCTTTAGCTATGGCGTACTTCGACGACTCGCAAGCGACTTTGGAAGAGTTTGGGCTACTACAAACCATTCTAGAACTCATTAATAATTCATGAGCTATTAGTTCAATCAGAATCCAACTATTGGGTCAAATGATGGACCTTTATATCCCGATAAAGCACTGATGTTTTATTAATCAGTTCTATATCAGATATAAAGAACTGATGTTGAAGGTCATCAGCGCTTTATCGCAACCAAACACTCAGTCTCAGTTTTAATGTCGCATCATAGACCTTTGCTAGGTTTTAAATCAGTTTGAATCAATGTGCAGATATGCGGTATAGCATAGACTAGCCGTTCTTACGTGTGGGATCAAAATTCTTTCATTTGAGACAAATGCACATGCTCAGTAGAAGTTTAACAATGCATAATCTCTGTTTTCGCACTTTTTAGCTTTTTTTAAAAATGATAACAATTTCTGGATGTTGGAGTTCTAGAAGTAGTATAAAAAACTCGCAGTCGTGCTTTATCGGGGATATAGACACTCGCGCAAGCACTCCTGCTCGTTTTTAACTCGGAGATTGCGTTAGCAATCGAAGAGTTATTGTAGATGGATGATCTGTCACTCACTCAGTCACTCACTCACTTTCCTGTAAACTTGCGCCTGCGATGTTTTTGTTAGCGGTTATTTNTTTCTTCATCTGAAGAATCAGAAGTGGCTTCCACGCCATGGACTTTCTTCTTTACAACAGGAGGACAGCATTTGCTGAAATGATTTAGTGCTTTGCATTTATTACATTCTTTGCCCCACGCCGGGCAAAGCTCTTTCTTGGGTTGGTGTTCTTGAGCACAGAACTTGCATTTGATCAGTTTAGGACGTAGTTTCCCTCTGTGAGGTCGAGAGCTAGACGTTGACTCACGTGTCGCTCCTTGTTTAGACTTGTGTTGTATTTTGTTGACGACTGGTGATGAGGCAGCAATGACTTTGAGTTGAGTTGTTGACATCTCAAAGCTTTTGCAGATATCTAAGCAGGCGCTTAGAGTTAGCTTTCTTTCTTGTAAGAGACGAGTCCTTGTCGTTTCGCTGTTGACACCCAGGACGATCCTGTCKCGAAGAAGAGTGTCTTTGAGACAGTTACAGTAGTTGCAGGTTTTCATGAGAGACTTGAGTGCGGCTACGTAGTCAGCAATCGATTCGTTTTGGCCTTGAATTCGTGTGTTGAATTTATACCTTTCGAATGTCTCGTTTGGTTCACCAATTATGTAGGTCTCAAGCTTCCTGATGATGTCTTCAGCCGTATCTGTGTCTTTAGGGTCGTTGTCATTATATTTTTGGAGCGCTTCCATTCCCATGGTTGAAATTAAGACAGACTTTTTGATTGTAGCTGATTGAGTATCGAGATTAGAAGCGATGCAATAGTGTTGCCACAACTGCTTCCAAAGCTTCCAATTACTTGTATCTTTTCCAAATYTCAGAGGTTCTGGAGGTTTAACGGAGAAATTAGGTCGTGGAGAAGAAGTGGATTGTTGTGACGAACTGCCACTCGCGCCAGAAGTTGTCGAGTCGCCGTCTTTCGTCATGTCGAGGGTTTTTCTCTAAGATTCTTTTGCTGAGTCGCTCGTGAATACTTTAGAGGCCAAGAAATCCCGTAGCTGCCACCATGTTTCACACTTTGGTGCTCTATTACTTGAGACAAAGAGTCAAATAGAAGAGACAACAAGACAAGATGGCGGTCAACACGTTTACTACAAACATGC